AAAAAAAAAAAAAAGAAAAATGGAAGTTGGGTTGAGTAGTGAGAAAGGGAAACGGTGTAAGAGGGATCTTTTACTTAAATAAAAGTAGGCCCAATAATAAGAATCCTGAACAAGGAGCCAATGAAACAGTCTTTGTCCTAGTTGTACTCTCAATGGCAATTTCTTTTCAGAATCCCAGAGAGAAGATGGAGGTTTTATTACTGTTTTTATTTATTTGTGTGTGTGTGTGTGAGATTAAAACTCAATATTATGGTTTATTAAAGAAAAACAGTAAATAAGAAATGTTATTAAAACAGATATTTTCCATTGGAGGTGCATACTTGCCTTTGGGTTGTTTGCATCAAATAGACCAGTTGAAAGTCCAATCAGCAAGGAATTTTGGCTTTTATTTTTTGATGGTGAATCAGAGCGAGATCGAAGTGGAAAGGATTCTTCTGGTGAACATAAAATTGACTGAATTTGAGAGACTACGTTCAAGTGTTTTGAAAGAACCACTCTATGGAAAAATGGCTCTGGTTGCACAGATTTATCAACATCACATTTAGGGTGCTGAGAATCACCTATTTCAGGTCCTGTGGTATAAAGGAAAGATTTTGTGATGTCCATACAGTACTTAACCTCTATGTAATATTGAAAAAGCACAGTATTTAACACGAATCTAGCCAAAAACTCTCTATCAGAAAAACAAAATCAAAGTATAGATACGATTATATTACCTTATAAGTAATCTTTGATAGGATATAAGATTTTATTTTCAGAAAGCAGATTAATTTGCTATATACCTCCATTAAATTCAAGTTCTAAAATACTTAACATAAAAAAAAGTGTCATTAGCACTAGAACGAATTTCTACTTTCACAGTATCAGAATAATGTAATTTCCAATTAAAATAGGAAAAAGAAAAAAAAATAGGAAATGTGAAAATATATTGTTTAGACACTCATATTTAGCTCCAGTTTATCTTTGTTCCTACAGGTTAGATAGGAAAAATTATATTTCTCATATTTTATAATTAATATTATTAAAAACAAGAAGACAACTTACTTAATGTCCTTAGTATACTGGCTTAGTTTTGGCAAGCAATTCTTTCTGTTATGAACATTTCATAAAATAATTGACCAAAAAGTTTTATTGGCCTTGTTGCCAAACAATCCAGGCTTATTAATGAGAATCTAGTGCTCTATGCCTATTACATTTTTTAAACAATTGAGGTGACTGTTGAAAAAATGCTATTAATATGTTGTCCAAATAAAACAGATTCAGGTTAACAACCTTCCAAAAGTAGTCTAATACAATGAGACTTACTTATATCAACTTCACTAAGGTGGTCCACATTGTTTGGGATTTCATCTTCAGAAACTTCATTTTGCTGAACAGTGATCCTATCTTCCAACCTGCCCAGATGGATACATTGGTAGAAATACAATTTACTAGAAATAAAAGCACTCTTAAAAAAAAAAAAAAAAAGGAGAACAGGTTCACTAGCATCCTGTGGTCCCTCTTCCAAATATTTTCCTCACTTATGTGTGTGGATATATATATATATTTCCTCTCATAAGTACACTGTATTTTTTACCCTGTTAAAACCTTCACCAATCATAGTCACAAAAACCAGCCTCACCACTTCTTATAATTGTGGTTCCCAAAATGTGGCCCCTAGACATTAGGAACACACAGAAACTTGTTCAAAATACAAATGCTCAGGAGGTGCCTGAGGCGCTCAGTCGTTAAGTGTCTGCCTATGGCTCAGATCATAATCCCAGGGTCCTGGGATCGAGCCCCACATCACCCCGCATTGGGCTGCCTGCTCAGGGGGAAGCCTGCTTCTCCCTCTCACATTCCCCCTGTTTGTGTTGTCTCTCTGTCAAATAAATAAATAAAATCTTAAAAAAGAAATAAAAATGCTCAGGGCCTCCCTGGACCTATCAATCAGAAACTTTGGGGGATAAGGCCCAGCAATTTATTTTAATAAAACCAAAGTAATTCTAATATTTGCTAATGTTTGAGAACCACTACTTCAAGCAATCAAAATGCCCCTTAATAGCAGAGAATATAAAACAACAATAATATACTAATACTATAAAATATCATGCAGCTGTTAAAAAAATGAAATAAAATCTATGTGAAATACTGTGGAATGATAGTCTATAAATAAATATAAATAAAATATATTAATATAAATTGATAAATAAAATAAATTAATATATTTTATTAAGTGAGCAAAGTAATCTACAGATCAATTTGTATTAAATGGTGTTAGGTTTCAAAAAATGGTGTGTAGTGCAGTATATAGAATGATATACACAAAAGTTTTAACACTCAAGAATTAATTGAAGAAAAAAGGTAAAGAAGAACTGACAGTTTTTATTTCAATACAGCTGGGAATTATATTCATGTATTATATTTTTTTTTTAACAAAAACTTAAAGACTGGAAGAATACAGTCCAAAGTTTTCAAACAAACACAGAAAAAGATGTTCAACATCACTAATCATCAGGGAAATGCAAATCAAAAGCAAGATATCTCAAATCTGTTAGAATGGCTATTAACAAAAAGACAAGAGGTAAGTGTTGGTGAGGATGTGGACAAAAAAGGAACCCTTGGGAGGCCTGGTTGGTTCAGTCAGTTGAATGTCTGCCTTTGGCTCAGGTCATGATCCCAGGGTCCTGGCATGGAGTTCCACATCCCAGACAGCTCAACAGGGAGGCTGCTTCTCCCTCTGCCTGCCACTCACCCTGCTTGTGCTCTCTCTCTCTCTGACAAATAAATAAATGAATCTTAAAAAAAAAAAAAAAGGAATCCTTGTGCACTGCTGGTGAGGATGTAAATAGTGCAGCCACTATAAAAAACAGTACAGTTTCTCTAGAAATTAAAAATAGAAATATCGGGGCGCCTGGGTGGCTCAGTTGGTTAAGCGACTGCCTTCGGCTCAGGTCATGATCCTGGAGCCCCGGGATCGAGTCCCGCATCGGGCTCCCTGCTCGGCAGGGAGTCTGCTTCTCCCTCTGACCCTCCTCCCTCTCATGCTCTCTGTCTCTCATTCTCTCTCTCTCAAATAAATAAATAAAATCTTTTAAAAAAAAATAGAAATATCATACAATCCAGTAATTCCACTACTGGGTATTTATCCAAAGAAAACAGAAACACTAATTTGAAAAGATCTATGCACCCCTATGTTTATTACAGCATTAACAATAGCCTAGATTTGAAAGCAACCCAAGTGTCCACTGACAGACGAATACACACACACACACACACACACACAGGAATATTACTCACCCATAACAAGGAATGAGATCTGGCCATCTGCAATAACACAGATGGATATAGAGGGTAACATGCTCAGTGAAATAAGTCAGACAGAGAAAGACAAGAACTGTACGATTTCACTTATATGTGGAATCTAAAAACCAAATGAATGAACAAATGAAGCAAACAAAAAGCAGAAACAGAGCCATAAATACAGAGGAATAAACTGGTAGTTACCAGAAGGAAGGGGGGTGAGAAGATGGGCAATAGGGGTAAGGGGCAGTGAGAGGTCCATGGTTCCAGTTATGGAATGAGTAAGTCATGGGGATAAAGGGAACACAGACATGGGGAATACAGTCAATGGTATTATAACAGTGTTGTATGGTGATAAATGATAGCTACACTTGTGATAACAATAGTTTAAGTACAGAGTTGTCAGAAACTAATGTAACATTATGTGTCTACTATACTTCAATAAAAACAACAACAACAAAAACCAAAGGCACCAGTAACTTATCGCTGCAAGTTCGGCTTATAAGCAGTTTTTGTTTTCTTAATTCTTTGTAATTCATCTCAAATTTAAATAATTTTTTTACTTTTTCAGTTTTAAATTTTGAAAATTTTTCTATTTTTGGTTTTCAAAGTTTTTATTTCTGATCATACAAGTAACACTTTCTTCATTCAAAATGTAATGTTCCTTGGTTCCTCAGAAAGTTAAACATAGAATTACCATACACTGCAGCAATTCTATTCCTAGCTATACACTCAAAAGAATATGGGTGTGCAAACAAAAGCTTGTACACAAATATTCATACAAGCACTATTCACAACAGCCAAAAGGTAGAAACAATCCTGGAAATGACCCACTGTCATCTGCTGAATACCCATCAATTGCTTAATGGATAAAAATATATGGTATATTCAACATAATGGATTTTTCAGCCATAAAAATGAAGAAATGATATATTCTACAACATAAACTGTAAAAACATTATGGTACGTGAAAGAAACCAGATACAAAAAGCCACATATGGTATGATTCCGTATGAAATATCCAGAATAGGCAAATCTATAGACAGAAAGGAGATTAGTGATTGACAAAGGCTGGGGGAAGGGGAAATGGAGAGTGGCTGTTTAACTGGTATCAGGGTTTCCCTTTTGGGGTGATGAAAATGTTCTAGAACCACATAGTGGTAATGGCTACACAACACTTTCAATGTAATAAATACTACTGAATTGTACACTTTAAAATGGTTAAAATGGTAATTTTATATCAATTTTACCTTGACTAAAAAAAAAATGCAATGTTCCTTTGAGAATTCCCCATAGTAAACTCAAAGCTCAGTTGCCTTTACTGTCATCAGTTTGGTATACATCTTACCATATTTTACCTTGAATTTTACAGAGAAATAAATAGCATTATTTTAATATATGGAAATGCCTTTTTATTCAATATTATTTTATTAATCATTTGATAATTGGGGCATATTTCCATATTGATACATGAAGCTACATTTTATTCTTTAGAGTGCTATATACTATCCATAATGCAGTATACAGAAAGTTCTTTATTTTCAGCAACTTCCTTATTAATGATTAGACTCTTTCAAATTATTTGCTATGATTCTCCTACAATAAACATTCTTGCATATGCCTCTTTGTGCCCATGTATGAGTAATCTTAGAGTAGATACCAAAAAGTAAAAATGCATTATTACAGGATATGCAAATTATTATTTTTTTAAAAAGATTTTATTTATTTATTTGACAGAGAGAGAGAGAGCACAAGCAGGGGGAGTAAGAGAGGGAGAAGCAGGGGAAGCGGAAGAGGAGAAGCTCCTCAGCAGAGAGCCCTATGCGGGGCTCAATCCCTGGACCCTGGGATCATTACCTGAGTCAAAGGCAGACACTTAACCGCTTAAATGAGCCACCCAAATGCCCTCGATATGCACATTTTAAACTAACAAAATTGGCAAATGGATTTCCAAATTGGCTCTCCCAATTCTTATGTGTGCTTGCAATGTATCAATGTTCCTAGTTCCCAATCTCTCACCAATATTTGATGCTATTACTTGCATTCCTCCTGGCTTCATGTTATTTTGTGAAGAAACTTTCACTGGCAAAACATCTGGACTCTTGCCCTGCCTTTTATTTATTCCTCTTCTTTGAGGAAGAACAAGTATCTGACATTCATACATTCATAGTTCTCCACTGAGTAAAGTTAGTCAAAGAACTTAGGAATTTGATGTCTTTTTTCTCATTGTCTTGCCTCTATAATCCATAAAGTATATATGTGGTTTCCTCCCTTGTAAACAGCTATATTCATATTCTTTCCCCATTTTTCTCTTGGACTTTGGTCTTTTTCTTCTTAATTTGCCAAGTTCTTTATGAATTCTGGATATTAATTATTAGGCTGTCTCCTTTCCATTTGTTGACATTTAGCTCTTTAATAAATCTGATAGTTATGTTGAATGGCTTTAGAAATGGAACTTTTATTTTCAAGTTGTGTTTAAGTGCTAGATACACTGTGTAGTATAGAGAAACAGTATTTTTAGCCATTTCGTTATTAGACTATTTCAAATTATTTGCTATGATAAGCATTCGTTTAATAATAAGCATTTCTGCGTATGTTTTTTTGTGCCCATGTCGAAGTACAGCCCTCTTCCTGTTTTTATAAAGTTGTATTGAAACAGTAACACTTATTTGTTTATGTATCATCCATGGCTGCTTTTGCACTACTTTGGCAGAGTTGAGTAGCTGCATCACAGACCAAATAGTCTATTCAAGGCTGAAATATTTATTATTTAGCTCTTACAGAAAAAAATTGACTGTCCCTGTTACAGATGATGGCAATGGAAGAAACTGCCAATTACTTTTTATAAATGAACCATAACCAAGAATAACAAAGTCTAACAATAATTTCCTGTAACCAAAAGGAACTATAGATGACTCTCGCAAATATTAATACAAAAATCCTAAAATACATAAGTACCTTAAAATAATATGTCATGACCAAGAAGAATGTACTTAAGGTATGCAGGATGGTTTATGTTAAGTAATCCATTAATATAATTAATTATACAGCTGACCCTTGAACAATGTGGAGGGATAGGGTGCTGGCTGAATCCCCTATGCAGTCAAAATGTGCATGTAAATTTTGACTTCTCCAAAACTTAACTACTAATAGACTACTGTGGACCACAGCCTTAATGATAACATACACAGTTGATAAACACATATTTTGCATGTTATATGTATTATATGCTGTATTCTTAAAATACCTTTTTATTTTTTTTCAGTATTCCAAGCTACACAGTTCACCTGCAAGTTTTTTCAAATTGCCACAAATCTCCAAAAAATTTTCCAATATATTGGGAAAAAAAAATCTGTGTATAGGAGGAGCCATGCAGCTCAAAACTGTATTGTTCAAAAGTTAACTGTACTAATAATTAAAGGAAAACATTTATATAAACAGTCATGCCTAATGATGGTTAATAACAGAAGCATCTTCACTAAAGTCAAGAACAACACAGAGGTACCCCCTATTTCCAATATTTGACATTGTATAAAAGATACTAACCAAGGCGATTATAGAAAAAAAAAACTAGTGTTAAAAAATTGGAAAGACATAAAATCATCACTGTTTTCATATGATATGATTGTATATCTGAAAAAAGCAAAAGATCCAACTGAAAATCTATCATGAACAACAGTAGGTATCAGTAAAATAGTGGGGTACAAAATCAATATAAAGAAATCTAAGCTTTCATACACACAACCTTCTAGTTACAAGATCTCATAGAAGAATAGGGACTAAACAAAGAATAACAAAAACAAAAGAAAAGAATATATCTAGGAATAAGCTTACCAATAAAAGTGTAAAGCCTAGATGAAGGAAACTATAAAAATACTCAAAACTTACTCAAAAGAAAGGCCTATCATGTTCTTCTTGGACAGGAGGAACACAACAAGTTGATTTCCCCTTTGTTAATCTATGAATTTAATATCCCAATAAAATACCAATTGATTTTTTTCCTGGGGAAGGTAGGCAAAATTTAGTAAATTCTAAATTCAAAAGAAATTTTACACAAGCAAGAATAGCCAAGAAAACCAAAAAAGGACAATGAAATTAAGAAAATTTAGTATATATTAAAAGTGGCATTTTTAATCTAGGCAGGAAAGATGAACTTTTTAATAAATACAACTGGACAACTGGGTAGCTATCTGAAGAAAAACTAAACCCATACCCCAGGATAAATTCCAAATAGATTAAAGATTTAAATGTAAAAAGTGCCCATGTTGAAAGTACTAGAAAAAAAAATTTGAAAAATTCTTTGAGAATCTTAGAAAGAACAAAGTATCTCTGAATGATTATTAAAATCCAGGTAAACATGACAATTTAAAAAACTTCTGGGGGCGCCTGGGTGGCTCAGTCGTTAAGCGTCTGCCTTCGGCTCAGGTCATTATCCCAGGGTCCTGGGATCGAGCCCTACATTGGGCTCCCTGCTCTGCGGGAAGCCTGCTTCTCCCTCTCCCACTCCCCCTGCTTGTGTTCCCTCTCTCGCTGTGTCTCTCTCTGTCAAATAAATAAATAAATAAAATCTTTAAGGGTGCCTGGGTGGCTCAGATGGTTAAGCGTCTGCCTTCGGCTCAGGTCGTGATCCCAGGGTCCTGAGATCAAGCCCCACATTGGGCTCCTGGCTCAGCGAGGAGCCTGCTTCTCCCTCTCCCTCTGCCTCTCTCCCTGCTCATGCTTTCTCTCTGTCTCTCTCTCTGTATCTCTGTGTCTCAAATGAATAAATAAAATCTTAAAAAAAAAAAAATTAAAAAAGAAATCTTAAAAAAAAAAACAAAACCTTCTGCATGGCAAAAAATAAAACATAAATGGCCAACAAGGAAAAAATGGTTGCAACTCACATAATCATAACCATGGCAAATATCTCTAATATTTAAAGAGTTCTTACTAATTTATAAAAGACCAACAACCACATTTTTAAAATGGGTCAAAGATATAATACAGAGAACTCACAGAAAAAGAAATACACATGAAACTTAAACATCTGAAAAAATGTGCTCACTTTACCAATAAGAGATGGATAAACTAAGAACCCAAACCAAGATACTATTTTTTAACCTATCAGATTGGCAAAAATAAAAAAGTTTGATAATAAGTTTGGCAAGGCTGGGGGAAATGAGAAGTTTCATACATTCTTTCTGAGAATGTAAATTAGTACAAACCCTGGGAAGAACAGTAACTGAATTACAAATGCAATTTGTAAGAATGCAATTGACACAGGAAGTGTACTTCTATGTATCTATCATATAGATATACATACATACATGCAAAATGACCTTATATAAAAGGTTGTTATTCATTGCAACATCATTTGAAATATCAATTAATGTAGAATATCAATTAATGTAGAAGACCTGCTGAGTTGTGATATATCCATTTAGTGGAATACTAAGCAGCCATAAAATAAGAAAAAAAAAAATGAAGCTCTCTATGGATTAATATGAAAAAATTCCTAGGTTACTGACTAAAAATAAAAAGGTGAAAATACCATATACATTATACTAATAACTTTATTTAAAAGGGAGGGAGACATTTTTGTTTTGGATAGATTAAAAATATCTGGAAGGAGGAGAAAATGGGAATCTGCTGGATGGGGACAGAGTTGGAAAAGAGACATTTTACTCTCTATCTTTATATACTTGATTTCTGAACCACATGAATGTAATATCTTTCCAAAAATTAAATTATTTTATAAGGTATCATAATACTATAGGCTATAGGGCAGTATTAGGTTATTATAGTACTTTTTTTAAAAGTATTACAAAAAGGGACCCAGGTTTTGAAATGTAAGGAAAAAGAGGTAACATACTCAGTTCCCTTTGTTTCTTTTATCTCACTAATCCACACATCAATAATCGTGCATGGCAAGCTACCATCTTTGTTTGCTCCATCTGGCTCTTGCAGAACTTCTGTTTCTAAGCCATCAGCTTCTGAAAATCAAAAACAACAATAAACATGTCTTAAAGCAAAATCCAGCTATAGATATTTGAACAAATATTCTATAACTTATCATTACCTAGTTTTAGGCTAACATACTAATTATAACAAAAAATTAAATATTTTATCTGTAGATCTTTAATCTTGTTAACTCTCTGGTTATTTTCTGAAAGTAAATACTAATGAGAAAAGTTTCTGTCTTCATTTGCTGACTTCTCTTTTTCCTCTTCAATTCAGATTATCAATGCTTTTTTTTAATATTTATTTATTTGAGAGAGAGAATGCACGTGCATGTGTAAGCATGGGGGAAGGGGCACAGGGAGAGAGAGTCTTAAGCAGACTCCCCACTGAGCAGGGCCTGATCTCAAGTCCCCCAGATCATGACCTGAGCCATAACCAAGAGTCAGACACTTAACCCACTGCAACACCCAGGCGCCCCACAATGCTCTTGTTTAAGCCACCATCACTCCCTCTTTTTTCCTGGAATCCAGGTCATCTTTCATTCTCTATTTTTAAAGTTTCCAATTAGCTTGTCCTGTTTAGAAAGAGAACTGATATTGTACCAGTCCTTAAAGTTTTTATCCGTTATTCAAATGATTTTTTGTTGTTGTTGTTTACCTGTACAAGGCAAACACTTGGGGAAAAAAATCTTTTAGTTATTTTTAGTGAATAATTGTCCATTAGCACCTTAAGCCATACCAACATGACTTGTTCTACAAACTAGATTTTTTACTGTATTGCCCTCAAAGTCTAAAATATTTACTATCTGGCTCTTTGTAGGAAATGTTTGCTGACTTGTACTAGGCTGTATAGTCTCTACTATATGCCTAACAGGCTTCTGTTTTTTTAAAAGAAAAGGCATACCTACTAACTATCATTCTAATAAGTAAGACTATTTAAGTTATCATGGTGAATTGAAAATGGTCACACATACAGCAAGGTCTCTGACATTTCTCTCACATAGAGGGGGCCCTCTACTTCCCCTCCCCTTGAATTTGGGCTGGCATTGTGATGGTCTTAATGGAGTATAGTTCAAGTTTATGCCAGTTCCAGCTCTAGTCTTCAAGAAAATTGGCAGCTTCTACACTGGAATCTGGAAGCTTAAACCACCATGAAAGTTTATTCTGGAAAGACCACATGGCAAGTTCCTGAGACTAAAAAAGTAGCGGGAACCAGCTAAAGAGGCTCTGCTGAGATACCATGCATGGAATGACATCATCTTGCCCCTTCCAGATAAGCCCAGCTGACAGGTGAATACCACTGAGTGGTACTGATGCCACATGGAGAACTTTCCCAATTCCTAACCCACTAAAACGTGAGACAAAACAAGTTATTTTAAGCCACTAAGATTTGGGAATAATTTGTTTTGCAGCAATAGATAGCAGAAATAGAATTTCCTATCTGAAAACAGGGTGCTGACATAACAAAAGCTTAAAACGTGCACTGGTTTTGGGACTTGGCAGTGGGCAGAAGTTACAAGTGCTTCAAGGAGACTGTTGATGAGAGACTGGCCAGTGAAAAAAGTTTCTGGAGGAGATTCTTGTTCTATGGTGGCAGAAAATATGGTGCCTGGAATAACAGTGATGATAGAAAACATACCTAAGAGATTCAATGATCTAGCTAAGATGCTATCTAAGCAGAATGTTAAAAATTCCAGCTAGCTTCTTTAGTTGCCTCTGATAAAGTTGGAGAGATTAACTGAAGAAAGAGCTGTTTAGTTTATGAGGACAATTTAGAAGAGAAAGCCCAAGTTAATTCCTTCCAGGCAATAAGAGCTTTTTAAGGGAAAACATGGCCTCAAAACAAACACTAAATTCAGGGCAGATTTTACTAGTCAAAGATGAAGTCAAGGGAGGGAAGGAAAAAGGAAGGAAGGAATAAAGAAAAAAGAAGAGTGGTTAGTGTAGTGAATGTGAATAACATTCATACAAAGCCCACAAAATTAAGAAAATTCAACCTGAAGAAACACCATCAGCTTGGATTGCATAGGAAAGAAAGATGTAGTTTAGAAAAGCCCTTGAGGGCACTAACTTTGGTGCAAAGGAAGCAAGCTGACAATGCAACACCTGACTGGCGCTGCAGAATTTCTATGGACCAGTGATTGATATATGTCCCCCATTTTCTTTGTTTTTGAAAAGGAGTCTCTATTCCTGTTTCACTACTGTATGTTAGATATTTAGAGGGCAAAAATTTTTCACTTATAGGTCTTGAGATTGAGAGTAACTGTACTCAAAGAACTGTACCCAAGAAAATTCACCTCTACATAGGCCTGACTTGGATAACAGCTTTAGGCTTTCAGCCCTTTTAATAAGAAGATGAGGCTTTGGGGCACCTGCGTGGCTCAGTCAGTTAAGCATCGGACTCTTGATTTCTACTCAGGTCATGACCTCAGGGTAGTGAGACCTAGTCCCGTGTCTGGCTCTGTGCTAAGTGTGAAGCCGGCTTGGGATTCTCTTTCTCTCTTCCTCTGCCCTGTCCCCTGCTCATGCGTGGCCCTCTCTTAAACAAGATGAGGCTTTAAGAAGGGGTAAGTGCATTTTACACGTGGGAGAAAATGTAAATAATTTTTTATTCAGTGGCAGACCATGGCAGACTACCAATGGCTGCAAATTCTTTAACACTCTTAACTTGGAGAGGTGGGCTCTGTTTTATCTCATTTGAATCTACGCTGGTTTGTGACTGTTTTGACCAAGGAAATATGGCAGAAGTGATACTGTGCCAGTTGAGACTGGCTTTTAAAAGTATAAGTAGCTTTTGCCTAGGATCTGTGAGCCCTGGCCACCATATAAGAAGTCAGACTACCTTGCTGGAAAGAGTTATGGAAAGGTGTGGAGACTACATGAAAAGGGAGAGGGAGGGGACCAGCATCACACAGCCTTCAAGCTGCATCTGAAAAGACACCAGTGAAGCCATCTTGAACCCCTCAGACCAGGTTGCCAGCTGAATACCATCAAGCGATCCCAGAGACAAAAAGCACATGAATTATAAAAATTACATTAGTCAAGCCTTGACTTAATTCCTGACATGCAAAATCATGAGATATAACAGAAGTGTTGTTATTTTAACACTAAGTTTTGGGGTGATTTATTATGCAGCATTAAAAAATCCAGACCAGTTATTATAGAAAACAAAGAACCTAATTTGAGATGAATCACCCAAACATATACACGTTTTGATGATCTGTTTATAAAGTCCTGTTTATATAGAAGAAATTAAAGTATTATCAAGTTAAATAGAGCTCATTTTGAGCTATTAAAATACCATCCACATTTTCTTCTGGCTTCAATGATGTCTGTGGAGATGCCTCACTAAACTCTGGACTGTTCATTTCAACAGAAGAATCAACAGTAGCTGATGGATTCATTTCAAGTGAAATATATTCTACTTTTTTTTCTCCAGGAATTAAAGGTTTGTAATTCTCCCTTTCAGGAGAAGTCTCTGAAACAACAACAAAAAAAGAAAGATCATGCTACATTCTCAAAAATAACTTGAATTTTACCTATAACAGCATTATAGCAAAATTCAAAAACTGCATTCTTACAACAGGTAATTACTGAGTAAGCTCTGTTATGTATTAAAAGTTGATAAATGATTAAGGTATATGACAGCTAAATATCATTTTAATTATACATAATGATATTTAGGATGATTAACATATGGTTTACTTTCTTTTCCCTTTTGTTGAAACTAACACACATAACAATGTTGTATTTTAAATCATTAACTGTTTTTGTTTCTGGTAAGTGCTAGTTACTTCTAATTGCTCAGAAACTCCCCACACCTTTTTTTTTTTTTTTTTAAGATTTTATTCATTTATTTGAGACAGAGAGAACAAGGGACAGAGAGCATGAGAAGGAGGAAGGTCAGAGGGAGAAGCAGACTCCCTGCCGAGCAGGGAGCCCGATGCGGGACTCGATCCCGGGACTCCAGGATCATGACCTGAGCTGAAGGCAGTCGCTTAACCAACTGAGTCACCCAGGCGCCCCATGAGCCACCCAGGCGCCCCCCCACACCTTTTTAAAAAAAAGATTTATTTATTTTAGAAGGGAGGAGGGGCAGAGGGAAAGGGAGAGAGAGAATCTCCAGCAGATTCCCTGCTGAGCACGGAGCCCAATCCCATGACCCTGAGATTATGACCTGAGTTGAAATCAAGAGCTGGATGCTCAACCAACTGAGCCACCCGGGTGCCCCTAAACTCCCCATACTTTTAACTAATGCCAGGAGAGAATGGATTTACCTCAGAACAACTTATTGCAGTTATCTGTAAGACGCCCAGGTCACTCCCATTCATTTCTTGAAGACGTTTCTTTCCAACTCCCAGTCAGGAGATTTCCCCAATATTAATTCTGTCTTAACTAATTTAATTGATTGCCAGATCTCCATTAATAATCCTTCCATCTCTGGGCCTCTCAATTCCTCTCCAGTGATTTTTATCTTCACCTTACCTCAGTCATTCCAATGGTGGTATCTTAGAGAGCTTGTCATTTACTAGAGCTCCTCAAAATTTTCAGTGCTAAATATTCTACCTTCTAATTTCTAACATCCTATTTTTCCACTTATCTTCCTCTACTATCCCAACTTTAAAAAATGTTACCCCACCAGGACCTATAATGCCCAGATCCTACCATGTTTTCTCTCCACCGTCATCCTCATTAAAATCCATCTAAAGTCCATCAATAAAAACCACTTTTTCAGGATGCCTGGGTGGCTCAGTTGGTTAACCATCTCAGGTCATGATCTCAGGGTCCTGGGATTGAGCCCGGCATCGGGCTCCTTGCTCAGCGGGGAGTCTGCTTCTCCCTCTCCCTCTACCTGCCACTCCCCCTGCTTGTGTGCTCTCTCTCTGACAAATAAGTAAAATCTTAAAAAAATAATAATAATCACTTTCTCACATACATCTTTAACTCACTCTACCCACATGGAGAAACCCCAACTCCTTTTAATTTAATTTTCTGTATATTATGTCTGCACACATGTGGCTATGAAATGGTTGGGTAAAAAAAGAGTCTTCTTTATTGATCTCAATTTCAAATCATTATCACTAAAGCGAAGTGGGCGCTTTGTGGTGCTTGCAATCCTATCATAACAATAGGATACCAGGAACTGTACCTAGTTCAGTTAACTTCCTTAGGAAAACAAGTTGTGTACAGGTATTTTTGAGTTATATTACCTCTTACTTCTTCCTAGTCAATCAAGAACAGAACAAAACTATAGTGTTGCTCATGTTTTGAATATCTTCCCTACACCACGACTCATCAACAAATTGTGATAGAGGTCACATCTGTGTTTTTGCTCATTCAGCCTACTGTTCTGCTATAAAATCATGTCTATTAAAATCAGAAACAAGGATGCCAGTTAGCACCATTATTAAAGATTGCTTTAGAGTGTCTAATGAATGCAGTAAGAAGAAAAAGAAATAATCAGAATAAATACTGGGCAAAAAAACACTAGTTCTTATCACTGATGATATAACCCTCATATCTGGAAGATCTAAGATCTCAAGGGAAAAAACTTAATATATTTAAAAAAATACTTCAGGGAGGTGTCTGCGTATAAAATTTTACACAGACACATAGAATATTTTATTTATTTTAACTAGAAATAACAATTTAGAAAGGGAAATAGGAAAAATATGTCATCCATTATAAAGACAAAAATACAGTATTATGTAAGAATCAATTTACCAGTTTCCAAGATGGCAGAGAAGTAGGAGACCTTAGTTTTGTCTGGTCCCAAGAATTCAGCTAGATAGCTAACAAAGCACTCTGAACACCTGTGAACTCAACCAGCGATCTAAGAAAAAAATAGCTGCAACTCTACAAATAGAAAAGCAACCACTTTCTGCAAGGTAGGAGGTGTGGAGAAGTGAATATGAGGCGATATATGGGAAGATAAATCACGGGGGTAGGAAGCCTCCGTAAGCTGGCTACCACCAGAAAGTGATTTAGTAGCAGAGCTCAAAATCGGAACTTTCAGCAGTCTACTCTGGTGAGGGACATCCTGACTGAAAGGTGCTCAGGTGGCGAAGTGGCCAGAATCCTAGGTAGGACAGTGTGACCTCAGGACCCCTAGGGTCACAGAAAGACCAGGGGTGCCTGAGTGTGGCAGAGTTCCCAGGTATCAGAGCAAGAAAGCCGGCTGCAATCAGTGAGCCCCAGAGTGAGTTTTCAGCTTGGGGTTGCCATAAACCATGAAATGCAGGGGCCCAGAAAGCCGCAGAATTGTGGCGAGACCCCGCTCCTTTCACTGGGAGGAGCAGCATGGCTGCACACTGCAGGAGTCTGCCGGGCTTGGAGACTCAAAGTAGGGTCCTATGCCTGAGATAGAAATATGCAGTCATGGGGTGTCTGGGTGGCTCAGTCTGTTAAGGATCTGCCTCATGATCCCAGGGTCCTGGGATCAAGTCCCACATTGGGCTCCTTGCTCAGTGGGGAGCCTGCTTTTCCCTCTGCCTGCCACACCCCTGCTTGTGCTCTTTCTCTCTCTGAAAAATAAATAAATAAAATCTTTTAAAAAAAATTTTTAAAAAGAGAAAGAAATGCACGGTCACAAGCTGGGTGAGCATGGAATGCGTATGGAAACCAGGGAGACAGGAGTGATGTACTGCTTTTCCCTGAGGGCACACTGAGGAGTCAAGGGCATAGCTTTTGGCCCCAGGGCTGGAGATTGGGAGGCCGCCATTTTCATTCTCATCCTCTAAAGGGGGGGTGAAGAGCCTTCACTGAACAAAAGCCACATAGAGCAATCCAGTGCAGCTTACTTAGCCTGGCCCCCTAGCAAGAGTGGTGCAATTCTGTCCAGGGCAAAGACACCAGAAAATCAGCACAACAGGCCCCTCCCCCAGAATATCAGCAAGAAAATCCCGCCAAGACCAAGTTTACTGATCACTCAGAACTGCAATACTCCAGTGCTAAGGGAAAAAAGTATATGGAAATCTCGGTGTTTTTCTCATAATTCTTTCTCATAAGTTTTTCAATTTTAATTTTTTTTTCTTTTTCCTTTTCAACCAATTTCTTATTTTATCAACTCACTTTTTAAGTCTTTTTTTAAAAATTTTCATTTTTACAGTTACATTCTGTCCTTTCATTATACTTAATTTTATTTTTGTATATATACATATATAAGTTTTTCTTTCTTTACAATTTTGGGAAGCAGTCTCTTCTAAAAACAGACCAAAACATACCCAAGATATAGTGAATTGCTCTGTTCTGGCCAGCTGTTTATATTCTTTCCTCCTTTTTGTCTTTTAATTTTCATTTTACAGTTACATTCTATCCTTTTACTGTATTTAATTTTATTTTTGTGCATATATAAGTTTCTCTTTCTTTACAATTTTGGGATTTAGTTTTCTAACAAACACACCAAAATACACACAGGATCCACTGTATTACTCTGTTCTATTCACCTTTCTGATTACATTCTCTCTCTCTCTCTTTTTGGTTACAGGTCTCTTCTGATTTGTTTGGTGTATATTTTTCTGGGGTCATTGTTGCCATTTTAGTATTTGGTTTTCTCAATCATCTATTCTTCTCTGGACAGAATGACAAGATGGAAAAACTCACCTCAAAAAAGAGAACAAGAGGCAGTACTGATTGCCAGGGACCTAATCAGTATGGATATAAGTAAGATGTCAGAACTAGAGTTCAGAATAATGATTATAAAGATATTGGCTGGGCTTGAAAAAAGCATAGATGATACTATAGAATCCCTTTCTAATCAGATCGAAATCAAAAGGCTATTAATGAGATGCAATCAAGAATGGAGGCTCTAACTGCTAGGATAAATAAGGCAGAAGAGAAAATGAGTGATATAGAAGACCAAATGACAAAGAATAAAGAAGCTGAGAAAAAGAGAAATAAACAACTACTGGATCACTAGGGGTAAAATTCAAGAGACAGGTGATACCATAAAGCAAAACAATATTGGAATAACTGGAATCCCAGAAGAAGAGGAAAGAGAGAGAGAGGGGCAGAAGGTATAATGGAGCAAATTATAGCAGAGAACTTCCCTAATCTGTGGAAGGAAACAAGCATTCAAGTCCAGAAGGCACAGAGAACCCCCCTCAAAAATCAATAAAAATAGGTCAACACCTCGACTTATAATAGTGAAGCTTGCAAAGCTCAGAAACAGAGAAAATCCTGAATGCAGCTTGGACGAGGGGTCTGTAATCTACAAGGGTAGAAACATTACTGGCAGCAGACCTATCCACAAGGATCTGGCAGGTCAGAAAAGACTGGCATGATATATTCAGGGTGCTACATGAGAAAAATATGCAGTCAAGAATACTTTATTCAGCAAGGCTGTCATTCGAAATACAGAGATAAAAAGCTTCCAGGACAAACAGAAACAAAAAAATTTGTGATCACTAAACCAGCCCTGCAAGAATATTAAAGGGGATCCTTTAAGCGAAGAGAGAGCCCAAAAGTAACAGAGACCAG